CCAATTCCTGACCGAATAGGAAGCGAGCTGACAATTGATTTTATTACTGATATGCCACCTTCTCAAGATTGTACAAATATAATGGTTATAACAGATCGGCTATCTAAAGACGTTTTTCTATTTGGTACAAAGACAATGGAGGCTGCACCAAGCGCTAAAGTTTTTGTCGACCGATATTATCGTTACTTTGGCTTTCCACGTTATTTGACAAGTGATAGAGGCAGTGACTGGATGGGAACCTTTTGGCAAACTTTCTGCAAGCTAACAGGAATAACTCAACGCTTGACCACGGCGTACCATCCTCAGTCAAACGCAAGTGAAAGAGCAAATCAGGAATTGTACAAGTACCTGCGAGCGTTTACCTGCTACTCACAAGATAATTGGATGGAACTGTTGCCTGTAGCCCAACTGGCACTAAATTCAAGACCAAGTTCAGCGATTGGAGGACTAAGCCCATTCTTCTTACGGCACGGATACGATTTGGACCCTCTGGCAGAGCCTACGCCTATCTTAGAGAATGGTTCCCGACACCCGGGACGACTATCTGCTCAGGATTATGTTAAGAGGTTAAAGGACGCGCAAGACTATGCACAGGCAGCAATGGCTTCAGCTCAACAACGAAACGAGGGTAATGCAAATCGTTTCCGAAGACAACCAGATCAGTATAAAGTTGGCGACAAGGTTTGGTTGGATCTCCGAAACGTGAAAACACCACAGCTCTCCAAGAAGCTAGCCTGGATACATGCAAAGTACGATGTGACCGCGGTCCCAGATCCTTTGACTGTGGAGTTGAACGTTCCTGGAAACATCCACAACCGCTTTCGTGTCGAATTGGTGAAGCGGGCGGGTGCGGATCCCTTTCCGAGTCAGCGGCGGGACGATGCACAAAATCCCGCTATCCTTGACGATCTGGGCGAGCAAGAATTTGGAGTGGACTCAATAATACGAGCGAGAACAGTGAGACGTGGCCGTGGTAGTTTCAGGCAAGCCCTAGTTAAGTGGACTGGCTGGGCAGAACCAACTTGGGAGCCCATTGAATACGTGGCAGACACCGAAGCTTTAAAAATATTTGAGGAGACCTATGGTCCCATAACTTCAAATGATGGCCCTTCGGAAATATACTCAGGTAGATACGTTGGCCAGGCCGAGCCTCATGTCCAGAAAACGCGGAGGGAACGACGAAAAAAAAAGCATTAAATAAGAAAATTAAATAAAATATTTACTCATTGAGGAAGAGAAGGGGGATTGTAACGGCTGTCAAGCCTAATTATCCCTGTAGCCTACGCTAGCTAGCGCAGGCAATGAGATCAATGGTGTAATCCAGAATCTTCTTGGAAGTTGTCGAAGAATCCAAACAATTCTGGTCATGGAGGGAATCCTATGGAAGGAGGAGTATTCTGGATTATATATATTTGTAGTCACTAGCTGTTAGAATTCTCTCTCTAGAGAATTATAATTAATATACTGTACCTACAAGATTGCCCATGCATTTTGTTATGAAACCGTGACAAAGATTCATGATACACCTGTCATTGTCATGAACCTTCAGTGTGCTTCCAGAAAGTTCATTGAGAATCTTCTAAGCTCCTTGTATTCCGAGATACTTCCAGAAGATTCCCTTGCATTCATTGCCTGCGCTAGCCTATTATAATACTAGTCCATGCTAACACAACGCAGAGACGTGCATGGTCTGGGTCATGGATTAATATAGTTGCTGTGCCTACACAATTGAGGTAAGCTACATAGTGGTTGTAGAGATCGGTTGAGGATCAGGATGTTGAGAAGTGAAAGCAGTGCACGGACCAGCTTCTCATGTATTTAGACAGGTGGTCAGGCACTGAACCCGAAAAGTGTCCAACATAGATCACATCATTTATCCATCATACTTTAGCAAATAATAATCCCTCTTAAAGTCTACATCTCAGTTCTCGTACATTATATCACAACTGACTCTAAGTCCATCCCAAGAATATCTCCAGTGCTCATCATTCACAACATAGCCAGCGTAGGCTATAGGAATTCTTAGGCTTAGCAGCCGTTACACAGTTATACCCTCTCTGCCATTCTGGCCTCCTTCCAACTCCCTCCCAAAGGTCGTGCTGAAATCTCAGAAAAGTCTTGACAAAGCATTATAGCTATATTGTAGCTTAGCATAACTTCTTTTGTACTGTTCAGAGATCTGGTGACAGAGGAAAGCTAAGAATGATGTAGTTGGGTCTGAATCATGAGCTATATTTAATCTAAAGATAGAAAGTGCTGTGTACACGAAATTATCATAAAAACTGTGTGCCGAGGCCGGAAGATTATCAGCCGAGCCTAACCAGATCAAGATGAGTATGATTAGGCGAGCGCATGCTTAGTTCAGTTCACAACTGCTACATCTGGGGAGTGCTGTTGACTCATCAACAATAGAAGCCCTCCAGGCTAACTAGCAAAAGCCTTGGTCTTGGCGCCCACAAAAGTTTCAAAGTTAAAAAGATCTAGAGAATATCCGACCTATTACTCTCACAAGTGGTCTCTTCTTTATCTCTTTCCACGCCCCAGTTGCCTGTACTTTCTCAAGATGCATAGCCCCATTAGAGAATCAGTCCCCCATAAACCAAGACCTCAACTCTGTATATTATGACTTAATTTCCTTCTTCTAGATATACGTAGCGTCGTAAATTTGTAGTGAGAGATTGTTGGTAACAAATGAGCCTAGCTCATTTTTGCAATCGGAGTAAAGCCTTTATTGGTTGTTGAGGCGAGATGGTGTGTGGAGAGGTTAAGGTAGAGGACTCTTGTGAGAATGACAAGACTGTCATTGATGATAAGTTGCCAACTATAGATGCGTCTGTGTTTGCTTTGGACTTCGATTCAGATGCAATTCTTCTTGGCTATCTCAGATACGCAGAGCATACTGAGCGATTACACCGGCACTCAAAATGAGTTATTCTGCATGAAATACACATCTTTCAAAAATATATGCATAGGCATTTAAGCGCTAAGTCAGGATATTTCAAATAAATCAAATCTCTGTTGCTGAGCCGCTCTATCAAAACCTCCAATGACCCTTCGAATTTCGCATTTCCCATCTTTTAGGTCGAAGAGATAGCCACAAACAAATATAAATTCCAGTTTCACTTTGGAACCTTTCGTTCTATGTTAACTGTAAGTGTTCCTACGTTCAAGAAAATCGACAATATATCAAGGAAATAATGACCCCTCAGTCATTGAGGCTGATTTCTTTTAAGGTCCCAGACACCAGCCCAGCGCCTTATGGCACGAGACTGGTGGGCTCGGTAGATGTTTTGATGTAATCATTCTGTGATGTAATTGTCTTGGCAGAATGAAGATTTAGTTGGAAAGAAACTGGGTTAATGTTAGCGTATGCTGACTAGGCGGAGCTTTATTTCTGGTATAAATATTCAACAGTGGATACATTGTGACGGTGTGGATACAGTTAGAGAAGATCAATATAATAAACTACAAACAGCTCTCTCGTCACTTCCAGACCTCATCAACGGCTCAACATCCGCTCTCACGTGAGTCTTAAAATATCATCCTCTAGCTCATATCCATAATAGTAGGGGTCATCCTAAATAGCTATGCCCTACTCGTTCCTACCACACTGTCACTTTGTGACTCTGATTACAAACAACCAAAAACCAAAAGAAATCACAAACAAAACCAACCGAAACTAGCCAATTAACAAAGAGGAGTGGTGCTAGAATTTCTCATCCTATGCCCCCCCGCAGTCATTTCTCTCGTCTTGACAAAGTAATCACTCTGGCCCTCGCATCCAGCTGAGGGCGGGTCTGCATCCATGCTCCCAAAGCAGCGGGTATTCTTTGCAAATTCTATGAACTTCTCGAGACCTTCCGGTCAAAGGAGTTGGTTGGTATAGTCCTCCACGGTCATTAATCTTCTCAACCTGCGCATTAAAGCAGCATTCTTCCGGCATTGGACCAAATGAGTTGGTGTTGTCCTTTGTACACAGATGCATTCCAGTTTCGCGTCTTCGTGGTTCAGGCGACGATGACAGTCCGCAAAGTCTCCATGTCCTGATCTTGCTGTCAGATTCATATGCGGTAATCTTCGAGGGTGCCCTAATTCTGGGCAGTCATTGAGGTTGTAGAGCGCATTGATTCAAGTAACTACCGGAGTGAAACTAATTATAGAATTCATAGTCACGTGTGTGCTAACAATGTGGCCCACTTGATAGCCCCAATTATTCTAAATTCTAACAATATATATACATATTGTCACAACACTATTTTGGGATGTACATGGGTCAGGAGAGAGATCACAATATGTAGATAGTTAGTCACGTGGATTGGTGCAGCTTCGCGTGTCGCCCTTAGGCTGACATGGCTGTATCTAAGAAGGAAGAACAAGAATCACCACATTATCGAGAGACTCATTGCGTACACGTGTATATTACCAACCGAGACATATATATATATATATATATATAATTATTTTTTCTATCCTTAACTCAAAGTTCTATATCTTACAAATTTAGTGTTGAATGTAGAATTAAACATCCATTCACAATTAGTCCCGACCTACCCGAGACGCTGATTGTTAAGCCATGATCCTGTTTTTCACCGCAACCACGATTGGTACCATAATGAATGTAAATGTGATTTAAGAACCTGTCGAGACTTAACTACCAAAACTGCAAGTTACAAAACTTTGCAAGCCCGGATGAGCATCAGTTGTTGTCACCAGCAATCAACGTTTAGTTGATCCTTTCGTTCACACCCCAATTCAAATTTTGGGTGGCAAAAAATGACCGATTCGTAGAGTGTTAGAGATTTCTTGACTTCTTCAAATGAGACTCGAGATTTTTTCGGCATCATCATTTTCGCTAAATTTTCCTCTTTTTTTAAGCTAGTGTTTCGAGGGTTGCTCTTCATTTATCTATCAACCATTAAAGGTTTGTTCTTACGCTTCATTCTTTTGAAAACAAAAATTAGTACAGTTATCTTCGTTGATATTCTACCTTTCCATGTAACTTATTGTGTTAACTTCATGCACTTTATAACATTTTTCTGTTGGAAATAGAAAACTCCATGGAAATTACATTTTTTATCAAACACTACGAAGGCTCTGATTGGTCTTTTTTCGGCTATCCCAATTAAGTTAGCGCAGCACTCCACAACTTGTAGAAACTTTCTCACCCATGCGATTCGCTTCACTTTCTGGTAATTTTAGGATCAGCTTCCGTACAGGGAATATTCCCACATCTGGTAGTATGAACGATTCACCAAAAATGCTTTTCAGGTTGGTAGATGGAGATTTATCTTGCTGTGCGATCAAATTGCAAGCTAGCTGCATGTGGCTATTGATCGAATGTCGCGTAAACTTGAATAAGCCGCATTTGTAATCACTCCCGACTGGGAAGATAAATTCCCCAATGGAGTTCTTGTTCGAATCAGATGACTGGCGTAGTTCTGGTTCATTTTCATAAAGTTCGTCACATTTTGCCCAGCTATTCAAATTCTTAGAGACCATGCCTAGTATTTCAAAATCATAATTTATCACGATATAGTAGGGGTTGAGTGACTTTTCTAATCATCAGTCAGGCCATTATCTTCACAAACTGGGAATATCATATAATTACCCATGTAAAGATTTTGAAAATAGGATACCTCACTTGGCAGTAGGTAAACCCGTGTCTTAAATAATTCATTAACAGTTGCGTGGCCATCTAGAAGAATATTGATATTATTAGATTTCCACTTCGTATAGAGATAATGAGTCTCTCTGAAGGTATGATCCACGAAAAATGATTCAAAAACTTTATTCTGACATCTGTAACCCCGGAAGATAGATGGATTCCTTGGGCCAGAACTGAGTGATAAATCATATAAGCGCACTGCTTTTACCGGTTGATAGCATCGCGTATCGGGTCTATTTTTGATGGTAAGAATTATTCCGTAGAATTTACAGCTTGAGTCTATGAGCGAGCGAAACCTTCCAGTACGACCTATACACCTCTCAGTGATTAGCGCGTTGTCATCGAACCTTTCTGTCTAGTATTTCAGTAAATCTTATTCCTACCTCTTGTGTATGATTCTCCTTCCATTAAGACAGGCCAGGAAAATAAAACTGCGTCATGAATAAGGAATAGAGTCGAGGCATCGAATGCAGCAGGATATTTTGTGTTACTTGGTGAAGTGCTGAGAGCTGAACAGGCGTGATGAATTGCAGTATTGATCCTATCTTTTGGGACAATGTCTTGCTCACAAATAAAATCAGATTCGACAATATTTGCGCTAATTTTGTAGACCAGAAGACTTGTGAAGATCAAGTGCAGTGGCGAAAGTCCCTTCATTTTCCTCGTTGAACAAACTTTCGAGTCTCTTCTCCTGTGCCTAACTGAACAGGACTGTACCATATAAACCGCTACACAAGTCTAATCTAAGCATAGGATATGTCTGAAGATTTCCATCTGCCTTCGCGTAGACTGAGTCAGTAGCTTGTCATCGATTCTTGGTTCTATCTGCCGAGTGAAGTGGAAGCCAAGGAATCTGCTCGATTATTTAATTGGCTATCCCCATCTTTCCATGGAGGATGATTCATGTTAGATGAATGGATATGAGCGACATTCCCGTGTGGGTTGTGTTGGTATAGTCTAAGTCTTATACAGGCGGTCTAGTTTACAAGGAATTATTTAATTCTAATGCGAAATGAAGAGTCATCGCCTCTATCGTACTCATGTTACCTTATTCAGAGGCGCTAATAACAAATACTCACCCGTGTCCTTGAGCAACTTGGCGACCGAATATATGTCAGACGTATCAAGGTATTACTCGGGCCTCAAGATCATGAGCTGTAGACTTCTAGATATTCCTCCTCTCGCATTCAGAAGAGATTTTGTCCCAGCTAATGCATTCTTTCTTCTAACTACCAGGCCTCTTTCTGTAACATCGACATGGAAAAGGAGATTCTAAGTTGGTGGTCTGGACAACCGAAAATAATGTGAAAACTTTAGGATGATGAGTCTTGACATGGCCCAAAATCTTGAAGGGTTACAAACTATAATTCTTAATAGAATGATACTTTAATATTGTATGATGACCATACTGAATTTCTTCATAATTGCCCGAGAGGCTCAAAAACTGACTAAATCAGATTTTTGAACTACTCAGGGCTATTTCTGATATCAAGATGTTGTGCATGGTCTGTTATTTTTTTGTTCATTAACGTGCTAGGTAAAGTGATACCCGTTGCACTCCTACTTGAGCTTAAGCACAGGTGGGGTCGGGCTGGATCAGATTCTTTTATTTTTTTTTTTTGCACCAGATTTTAATTGCGTATGCAGCTCTCTAGCTATGACACAATATCAAAGAAAAGTACAGAATATATGATTTAACCTAAGGGAAGAGCACTTATGCCTCAGATTTCATTTGCAAGTACCACTGCGAAGTTATGCTGGCTTTTTCTTCACCCCAATTCAACCCTCATCCGTGAATACCCACCCAGGGGAACGTCTCAAAAACCCTGAGTTATCCAGACATGCCTCCATCATCTTTCAACTTTTCTCCGCGCGAAATTTGGTCTGAGATATCTCCTTCCCAAGTGGAGTAGGTGCCCAGGCTACTCAAACTATACCGGAGAACACCACCAGGAGGCGGACCACAACACCTTCCATCGTTTGCTTGTTTTTATAGTGTCAGCTGCACTCTCGCAAGCGAAGTCTTGACGCGCACAAAGCCTAATTCGAAAAACTACTTGCCAAAATTCGGAATCTCATGCCCTTCGAGGTTATATCCGTCCTTCGCATCATCTTGTCAACTTGTCCAGATCCCTCTCACATCCATCCCAAAGAACTGTCTCCCAGATTTGTGCGCCACGCTTTCCTTCCTCCGTCGGGTATAAATATCGGCGTGGGCGTGTATTTGGTTACCGGCTAAGGACAGAGAAAGTCGACAAGAGGTGTTGGGACTTAATATATACATTATTATTACGGGGTAAATAATATATGGGTCACATATTTACCTGACTGTTAGTGGTCACGAGTTGGGCAGGAAGTCTGCATGACATGTTGTGTTATGGAAGATCAAGGTTACGTGATGGTGGCTTTCGGATATTGAACAGGAGGCGGGAAGACAGATCACTCGCTCCGTTCAGGACACGAGTAAAGGATACGAGTAGAAGATATTAGTATTGGCTCTACAGAGCTGGATCACTCGTGGACTATGAATGGTGTATATAAGAGTGGATATGTGTATTGTACTTTGTTAAGTCTCCATTAGTATAACAATTGTTATCTTATTCCAACAAGAGGTGTGGTCATTGAAACGAGGATGTACTAGGTCGTTCTTGTAGACTTGATGAAGCTTAGTTGAGAATCAGACTCTTTGGGAGGGAAAGATTGACATGGTGGAGTAATTTGAATTTTTGCCTCGTTGGCCAACTTATTTGATATTGCGAAATTTGACTGAACTTGGCTCTGAGAGAATATTTCACTCTCAGATTCGTAAAGGATACCGCGTACAGGTGTTCATTCTTGCCCTCCTGGATCAGGTTCACCACTGTAAATTAAAAGTTCCTTATCCCACCTACATGACCGGAATACCTCAGATTTCACCCATGTGTTGAATCATGGCATGCCCAACCGTTCAGAGGACCCTCATTTGACGCGCCCGAGCCCTTGAAATCCTCATTGACTCCGAAATATAAAAGCCGTCCAAGATCTCATTGTTGCTCTAGCCTTGCACCTTCATATCGTATCGTTGGGTTGTTGTTGTCATCGGGGATTTGTGCGATCCCCTCAGTGTATATTCCCTTTTCTTCCTCCTTTGTGCACGTCCCGTTTCCATCATTACTTTCCTCATTAGGGCGTGTATAGATAGATGGACGAGTACAGAGGTGGGTCGCAGGTAAAGGATCGACTGAGAAATCCTTTGTCGCAAATATAAAAGGAGTTTGAGAGATGTCAGATGTTTGAATACGACCCCCAGACAGGCCTAGGCACATTCGTAAATCGTATGAAGGTGGTGGTGAGTTTTTGTTCAACTTTGTTCCGGCTGTGGAATCTCTGCCGATTGATTTTTCGACCAAACTATCGAGTACAGCTCCTTCAAGTCGAAAGTCCATCAAAAAGATTTTATCCCACCCTTTTTCGTGACTGAGTCTCGGCTCTGGGAGAATATTTCACTCCCACGTTCGTAGAGGACACCACTGACAGGTGTTAAGCCTTCGCCCTCTACATGGTTATTTTGTATATATTGATTGTCAATTATCCTGATTCTCTGCAAGAGAAAAATTCAAAGTTATCATGGTCAAATAAATCAAATATAGTTAGTTTCTTGTGTAGATTCTAGAAGTCCTCCATATTCATGTACTCATTAGGACGATAAACACAGTCATCAACTCACTATTATTAATATAATTTAATCGTTCTGTCTCAGTCTATGACTATATAGGACATGCAGGTTCTCTCTGCCTACAGGCCAAGGATACTTATGCCAGCAGTATATCCCCTCCTATGCCTCACATACAGCTCCCCTCAATCAATTCCAGCCCTCACAAGCCCTCGTTTGATCATACACTTGGAGGAGCCCTTTGACCTTCATTATCTCCCCTCTCCGATCATCCAAACGATGGCAATTTGCTTGTGTATGGTGGGCGGGGAAATTTGAAAAAAAACCCTTTTTATGCAGATTTCTCCTGATCTCGATATCGGAACTTAATCGGAAAATGTAATAACTATTCTGGAATGTCCGAAGATGCAGGCCAGCTAGACCGTGCGAAGTGGCTTTCGGGAGACTAGGGACCCATAGCACGCCTGTTACCTTTAATCACAGAATGCCGATAGAGTTCGTTTAGTCTAGCGTGAGTTGTTCGTAATTCTCTTTAATCCCATAGAAGACTCTCAATGTTATAAGTACTTCATGTATTGCAGGGGTCGGGGGATACAACCTGTGTAAATGATGTTTTATTTTGTTATAGTTTCGCACCAGTTGCCTACTCTAGAGCTACACAATTGTCGGTGATGATCGGCAAGGCTGCTTAGGAATAACTTGGCGCACAATTGCACTAGACTGAAATTGGTTTTAGCGTCAGACAAAGAACACGAGTAATGTGTAGAAACCTAGTTGTACAGTCTTTAAACATTCCGACAAATAATATAATAAGAACGATTAACGTGAATAATTTATTTGATTGAACTGCTACGAAGTACTTTGAAGCTGTGCCTAGATTCTTTGAGTGAGTTTCCTCTTAGAACCCATACACACTTTCCAACATATTTTGTAAATACTAATAGGTTCTAAGCTTAAGCTCTGTCCACCATGGGCGAAGGATCAGTGGAGCCGGTAAGGTTCCCTGTAACTTTTGCTACACCCTAACTCGTTCCAACCTCGTGAATCGCCGCCAAAAGTACGGCTGATAAAACCGAAACAAGAAACCCCAAAAATCTTAACAAACTCCGAAAGACAGAAAATTCCTCCATAAGGGACCCGAGCAATGTGCTCCTCATACTGTTCATCGTCCATCATACCTTCCAGGTGACAAATAAACTCAATCTCCACTGAGAGCAAGAGATGGGTTAGCAGGCACCTTTGATCCAGCCGATGTCCTGCTATTGGCTAGTTAATGCCTGTGAGAGGCATCGTCTAGGTCGCTGTATCCTCAAGCTTCTCCGTCAGATTCCAGCAATCCGGAACCTGCTCCCTCGGCCATCGAGACAACCTTTGCTGAGGCGATGATCGCCTCTTCAACCCGAGCTGGTGCCACCTCTGCGAACATCCCATGCTTGATGTGACTAATCCACGCGCGATGCTCTTTGGTCATCGGTCCGAACATTTTGGGTCTGACTTGGCAGTACCGGTAATCCGATCGGTGGAGTCCCCAACAGTTGCGATACTTGGTGAGGGCCTCGCACTCTGTTCCCGAGTGCAAATATGATCTGAAGTCCCAGCTTTCTGGAGCGCGGGAGAAACCCCGGGTAGCGTGGAAGCCCAAACAGCCTTTGAACTGTTCGATATGGCGACGGGGCTTGTGAATGGTAGCCATACCAGTCAAATAGATTAGCCTTTGTTATAATCAGCCAAGAGATCCCAGATCTGTGCAGATTTATGCATGCCAATATTTCATGCAAGTCTTAGGACATGGACTTGAGGGCAACCCATAATTAGGGCATCATAGATTTGTAATGGAATGGTATGGGATCGAATAGTGTAGAGTAGAATGGAATAGAATGTACTGGATAGTGTAGGAACTGTGATATGGCTATCCAGGACATGTATATTATGAGATGTATCTCCTGGCAGTAGGAGCAAGCAAAAGTCATCTGAATACAAGCGTTCCTCAGATAACACAAGTCTTTTCTATATCTACGTTGGTGTTCTACAAACACATATAGTATCCTTCCAAGGTAGAGATTCAACC